CTCACCATGTCATGCCTTTCTTGGTTGGACATTGCCACTCAACTAAATTTAAATTAAATTATCACAGAATCATGGAATCAACGGCGTTGCAAAAGACCTCTGAGATCATCCAGTCCAACCCATGATCCAACCCCACTGTGGTTCCCAGACCATGGCACTGATGCCACATCCAGGCTCTGCTCAAACCCCTCCAGGGACGGGGACTGCACCCCCTCCCTGGGCAGCCCATTCCAAGGGCTGATCCCTCTCTCTGGGAAGAACTTCCCAATGTCCAACCTAAACCTGCCCTGGGGCAGCTCAAGGCTGTGCCCTCTTGTCCTACTGCTGGTTCCTGGGAGCAGAGCCCGACCCCCCCGGCTCCCCCCTCCTGTCAGGGAGTTGCAGAGAGTGAGAAGGTCTCCCCTGAGCCTCCTCCTCTCCAGGCTGAGCCCCCCCAGCTCCCTCAGCCTCTCCTCACAGCACTTGTGCTCCAGACCCTTCCCCAGCCCCGTTGCCCTTCTCTGGACCTGCTCCAGCCCCTCCATGGCCTTCCTTATATCTTGTAAGACACTGTGATCCCTGAGAGAAAGTTTTTGTGAGTGCTGGGTGAAAGAGGGATGTGGGTCAGAGGACAGAGGGTGTGTGTGTGTCCCCACTGGAGTCATCTGGGTGTACTTGTCCTGGCTTCACATCTCCTGAAGGCATGAGATGGCTGCAGAAACGAGACCTCTCTGGGACCTCTGAGTCACCCCCATGAATATGAGATCAGAGTGTTGCTGTCCAGGAGGAAAATGAACAGGAGCTGTTGTCTGGGGTGGTGGGACACTGTGCCCCAGTCACATCCCAGCCATGGCACGTCATGACTGTGGTTCAGGCTCTCCAAAGAGATGATCTCAGTGTTTGTCCTTGGGGAGGTTACAGCTGAGCTTCCTGCTGCAAGGTTTGGAAGCTGCCATGGTTTGAATCTTCCTGTGATTTGGGGCAGAGAAACTCAACGTGGAGGAGTGAGCAAAGAGGATGAAAGGTGGGAAAAGAGAGACAAAGTGGAATATTCTGCTAGGTCTTGCCTGCAGCCAAACCCTGGTCTGTGTGTGCTGTTTGACTTTGTCAGAGATGCTCCTGTCACAAAGGCCCTTTTCTGCAGGGACAGTGTCTGGGTGACGCTGATACGAGCAGGAGTCTTGGATTTGTGATGCTCTATCTGGTTTGAATCAAATAAAGAACCACTCTGAATCCCTGCCCAAAGCACAAAGGAGGCCTGCAGCATGTTAACAGGATGAGAAAGTCTGGCCAATTCCCTTAATCTGTTCCAGGCTCCTCTTGGCTTCCAGGTGTTCATCCCGGATCAAGAGCCCAAACATCCGGGGAGAGGCTCTTGCTGTCGTATTTCCAGCCCATCTGATAAGGCTCGTGCCTCTGAGCCTGCATGCTGCTGCAGGATCCCTGCTCTGCCCTAACCAGGGCTGTCATTTTAGGGCTTCAAGTCCAGATCCAAACTGTAAATGTGAAAGTAGGTGCTGTGTCAAGCAGGTGCCCTCAGCAGCTGTAGTGACTTTGACCTCAGAGCTCCCCTTTGGGACACGTGGGTTTTTTCACAGGGGAGTGACTGATTTTCTTGTCCAGGGTGGTATCAAATCCCCTTGGCACTTTTCTCTGATTTGAAGGGTGTGCAAAGAATGGGGCAGCCCCGTTGAAACACTGATGTTAAAGGAGGAGGTCCGAGCTCATTTCTGTCCCCGGATAAATCCACATGACAGCCACATGCTGCCTTGCTGACAGGGACATTCTGGGGCTGCTCAGGTGTGCCCAGGCTTTCAGCTGGGCTTAAGGAAGCAGGAAGAGCCCTGTGCCAGTGTGGGAAGTGGTTTGGGGCTGGTGAGGGTCGTGTTTTTCATGCATTTGCTACATTCACAACTCACAGCACTGAACTTGGGCTTCCCTGCTCTTCCTGGGCTCTCTGAGCTTTGGAGAGGGCAGAAGAGTTTTTGGCAGGGCTCAGCAGCCCTTGCTGGAAGGAAAAAGTCCCCCCTCCCCAGGAGCAGCCTCCTCTGAGGAGCCTGCTGGGTGTGAGTGGGTCAGGGGGAGTGAGGAAGGGGAAGGCTCATCCCTGATGATCTTCCCAAGCACTTGGTGGGTGTTGGTCTGTCCCTGACAAGGCTAAAACTCAACCCAAGGGACTTGTCTTTGCCACAAAAGCCTGGCTTTTCCATAGTTAAATAGAAGATGCTTCAGACTGACTTTTCAGTGTTTCTCTGAATTATCTGTGTGTTCTCTGACCAAACACTACAAGTACTTGCAATTTTTTTCCCCCAAAGAGCTGAATCTAGTCACTTTTTTCTCTAGGCTTCAGAGGAAAGGGAAAGGTACTTAACTTATGTTTTATTCATTGCAGTCACTATCTCTTGTTAATTTACTTACATTATTTACAGAATTTTAAAGTATTTTGTGTGTCAGGCAGCATCCCAGGCCCTATAAAATGCTAATTTTCAGACTGTATCAGAGGCAAACATCTTTCCTGGGCCTCTAGGTAGACAAAGGGTCATCCCCATTCTTAATTTATTTTTCATGATTCTATATTTAAATGCAATAAAGCCTGCTTGAATGGCAGATCTCAGGCAACCCACTTCTCCGTGTGGTTAAATTTTATGAAGATCCATTGTGGTTGTGTTACTGGTACAATAAAATTAATTTTTGATCTAGTGCCCTTAATTACTAAGGATGACTGAACCTGGTTTAAGCACAGGAATAACTATCTTGGATCTTTGCCCTCAATGGGAATGAACACAAGGTTCAGAAAGTTCAAGTAACTTTCTGAAAAGAAACTGAGTTTTATTTTCACAGTTGCTTCTCTGCACTTCCTGATTCCAGCAAGAGAGGAAGTGGGGGGGAAACCCAAACCCCAGAAGGCTCTTAATGTTTTAGGTTTTAATCTCGTGTCTGTGAGCTCTGGGTAAATTGGTCCCGTTCCCAGCCTTGGGGTGTTTGAATCTTTCTGGGACAGTTGACACCATAAAATTGGGCAATACATGAAGATTTAGGGTCTTTTTAGGATAATCTAAATCACTGTGACATGCCTGAACCAAGTGTTTCCTGCTGGTCAGCTGCCTCTCGAGGTTTAAGGTCAGTCAAGAGGGACATTAGAGCCCAGTGGCTTTTATCCTGGTGGAGCATGGCCAGAGGTCTGTGGTCACCACAGCACATCCTATGGGTGTCATCTCGAGGAGACTGTGATAAACAAAACAACTTAATCTCCAAATTAATATAAAGCCATTGTTCTGGCTTTTCCTGCCAAAGGGGGCTGCTCTGAGGTTGTGCCTCTGACCAAAAAATGTTGGCAGACTTGAAGACTGCCACACTGGAGTTTTGTAGCCACCCTGGGAAGCACTGCAGGGATATCACACAACTGTTTTTCAGTGCTTGGAGTTCCGTGAAAGTGTCAAGGTTTTTCAGAGAAGGCACCATGGCATGTGATGTACCCCAGCAGTGGGATTGCTCAGCCCCAAAATAGCACCAGGGTAATCTGTGGGGGGAGAGCAGCTACTCCTGGAGTCCTCAGTGACACAGCTGTGCCTGCAGCCAGGCTGGGATGATGTCCTGGCCCACCCTATCCCAGTCACAGCCATCCTTCAGGCCCAGCTGGTTCCCTCCATACCACTTTTTCCATCCCTGAGGTTGTTTTAGGTGTAACTGGTAAAGTTCTGGTGAGGCTGGTTTAGGTTCCAACACAGGTTTTTGGAGGGAGCAGCTGTGGTGTTTCCAGCTGTGGTGTTTCCAGCTGTGGTGTTTCCAGCTGTGGTGTCTCCAGCTGTGATGATATCTCTTTTGGAAAACTGGCACATAGTTTTCATGGAAATGATGGGGAAACCTCAGAGCTTTCCTGCTGCCGGAAGTTAAGGAGGTCTTTTGGTAGGGTTATATCCTTTGGGAAAAAACACCTGAAGGCCAGTCCAGTTCAGTAGATATTGTGGTCCATGTTTCCAAAAAAGTACAACTAAAGTCCTTTTGTCACTTTAAATTTAGCCTGTGTGTCCGTGGTGAACACTGAAAAGACAAGTGTTTCCACTCCCTCGGATTCTGAGAAGAGCTGACTGAAGTGCAAGGCTTTGCAAGACTGAGGAGTTTGCTGACCACAGCTGGCTCAGTTTTTGGGGTCTGTCCTCGATGTTAGCCTTTGTTTTAGGGGGTTTCTTTCCCAGGTTAGCAACCTGCACACACGGCATTACGCTGCTCAGAAATTCTTTGCGTGTGCGCTGTAGCCAGAAGGAATACACTTAACATACAAAAGCTGTCATTCTGCTAAGGATAAAAAATATCTTATTTACGAGCTTATTTGAAAGATTTCCTCCCCTTTTCATCTTAAACAAGAAATTGGCATGTTAATGAATGCAAGCCCTGCGAATCTGAATGCTGCCCAGACACTCTGTGTGAGGCTGCCTGGGATGCTGCTCACCCAGCCCAGGAGCACACCCTGCTCTGGGGCTGGTTCTGCCACCTCCAGTCGAGTCAGTGACACAGTCCTGGCTTGGGATGTGTTAGATTTATGTGCAAAGCAGGATAGGGACTTTGATAGGGATTAAGAATATGATAAATTTGCAAGTCGTTCTGTGTGGAGTCGTTATGAAATGGGGAAAGGCATCAAAAGTTGCCCATTGGGAGTTACTGGCAGGTAAATTTAAATGTGTTCCTCCTCCAGCCCCAGTCTTTTCACCACCTTGATGTTCCAGTGAACCCATGGTCCTACGTCATCTTCTCACCATCTGTGTGACCACCAATCCCTCCAAGCAATCACTTCCAGTTGACTCGAATATGCACTGCCAAATGTTCTCACTTTTCCCAAACTTTGGTTTGTCTCCCTATGAGGTGAGAAAATCCTTCCTGAGGGCTTGGCAAATACACACCACGTGGCATTTGCCAACACTGGTTAAATCTTAATATATAAATCCATCTGTTCCCAAAAGGAACCTGCTGGTTCTGTGATGTCGAAGCCCGGCCTTGGTGACAGGGGTTAATCATCACAGGAATTACTGGGATGCCCCAGGCAAGTACTGGCTAAAGCAGACAGGAGCCAGTTGCTGAATGGAGGAAGAAAAAGATTCTCTTCAGATAAGAGCATGGGAAAAGAAAGAATGGAAATTTCATGATAGGTTAAAGGAGCTTTTAATGTGCAGAATGTAATATTTCCCTGTCGGGCAGAGAGGAATTCTTTCAAGGTAAAGAACATCCAAGGAAATACACTCCAAATAGGCTGATGTATCCAGGCATAATGGGAAGAGATTGCTATAATTATGAATCCATGTACCTGGAGACAAATGAAGGGGGAAAACTCTTTCTTTGAGGGCTCCACTGGAATGTTTCTGGATCCCGGAAACCTCCTTTATACACAGAAAAGTTAAGGTATTCCAAGCTGGATCTCCAAGATCTCCCACCTGATAACTCCCAGTGCACTTGCTGCAGTGTGTTACACTTCCAGGATGTAATTTGCTTTGGTGAAATTGTCATTTTTATTCCTCAGTAGCTGGAGACCACTGGGCTAAAGACAGCTCTGCAGCGAGTGACCTTGGAGATCACACACCATCACCCACACCTTGTTTAAATTGCAGAGGAACGCTGGGGCTGCATAATAAGCTGTTGATTGTCAGGCTGAACAAGCAAGATGAGGTGAAGATGATGTTGGGAACTGCTGCTTTGCCATCCCCGCCTGGGCTGTTCAAAATGCTGATCTCGATTCTCTGTTCACCCACTATCTTTCCTCTGCAAACTTCCTGGAGATAAGTTTCAGCTCTTCTTGGACAAATATTGTTGAGAATAAACAGGGAGGCAGAGGGAAAGTGTTTGTTTTATACCTCGGTGAGGTGATAAAAAAAAAAGTCTCCGTGTTCTGCAGCCCTTGAACCATTGTTCCTTTGTGCTTTTGGCAGAAATGGTTGGGCTGTATTGATTTCTGGTGAAATGAAATGTTAACAAATGTGTAGCAACAATGGAGGATGTTTCCTTCTCTTCCTTGGGAATTTTTTGAGCCCAGAGGATTTTTAAACCTCTGTTCCCCAAACCCCTGGTTGGGAATTGAGGGAGGTTCATGGGAAAACTCGGTGCAACAATTAGTGGTGTGTTCAACTGGCTTCTCCCTCCCCGTTGGGTCTGTGTCGTGTGAACCTGCCTGAGGTGTGGAAAATAACAACAATTAAATCTCCACAAAACTTTGGACACAAGGCAGCATAGAAATAATGTCACTAACTTTTTTTCCCCCTCTCTCATAATTTTAAAAAATAATAAATGTTGTCAGGGTGGGGAAGCTCCTTGGCAAATTAGGCTCATTCCTGCCTTAGCCCTGGGTTTTCCTGCCCTGCTCTGAGCCCATACAAGCTTTGCAGTGCCCTGCAAGCTGAGGCAGCTGCTGACAAGAGCCTGGGAGCAAAGCTGAGTCCCACACTGTGCTCCAGAGGTGCCAGCGGCTGTGGGGAAGAAAACCTGCACCTATTTTCCATCTCCTAGCAGGAAAAAGGCTACTAAGGGGAAATTAATGGGGTTCAGCCCCTCCTGGTGCTTGGTTTTAAGCAGCAGATTTTACCCAAACCTTGGTAAGGTGCATCAACCCCGTACTTTGTGTTGCAGCACTGAGCTCCTGAGCTGCCCCAGCACTGCTGGACCTGCTCTGATGCCCCAGTCCCATCCATGCCTGACCTCCCTGCACTGTAGGGCTGTTTGCAGGGTTATCCAGGTGCACTGCACTGGAAGTACAAGCTCCCAGTACGTTTCCCCTCCTGTATTTTACAGCTTTTACTGTTCTGGCAGGGAACAGAAGGATCTGACCTTCCTGAGGGCGTGCAGGGAAGTTACTAAATAACCGAGTTCTCCCTTCCCCAAAAGGCTGTAAATTGTGCTGAAACAGTGGTTTCACAACAGGCCAGATGAGGAGCTGTTGTCGACTGGATGGGAACCAGAGGAAATGCTTTACCCTGGAAAACTCCCACCTTCCCTCTCCCGTGGAGCTGGAGAGTGTGCTGCCCACTCTGCCCCACTGGGATGGGAGCTGCAGCATCTCTGGGTCAAGGAGGAGGTTTCCACCTCGGGAGAGGACACAGAGGTACCATCCAGCTTCCAAATCACTGTTGGAATGCTCAGGGACAGCTCAAGGGCTTTGGACTCGCTGAAGATTTGGCCACGTGCTGGGGGCAAGGTGGGCAGTGCTGGAGAGGCCACAGCACCTCCTGGGTTTGGGGGGGTTGGTTTGTTCTGGGGACAGGTCAGGAAGGGCTTGGAGCAACCTGATCTGGTGGAAGGTGTCCCTGCCCGTGGCAGGGGAGTTGGAACAAGGTGGTCTTTAAGGTCCCTTCCAACCAAAGCCATTTTGGGATTCTACAGCAGGTCCTGTGAGCTGGAGAGATGAGGACAAGTGGAGGAAATGACTCTGTTCTGTTGAGATGAACTTCATTAATGGTGTCAAAACAAGGCCCCAAAGCCAGCAGATAAATGAACTGGGTTTGTGCCACCTGCCCTCCAGCTGCAG